AAACAACAAACATATGAAATACATATATATGAACTGCGGTTATGAAACGTATATGTGCACGATCCTTCGCAGTAAAGCACTATTTAAGCAATAGTGAAAATCAGACCTGAAAAAAAATTTTTTCAGATCTGATTTTCACTATTGCTTAAATAGTGCTTTACTGCGAAGGATCGTGCACATATACGTTTCATAACCGCAGTTCATATATATGTATTTCATATGTTTGTTGTTTGATTTATCATCTACGGGTTTATGTCGAATTAATTTGATGGCCTGCTCCCAGTTGGCTTGTTAGCTCAATTGGTAGAGCGCTGCACTAGTATCGCAGAGGTCAGTGGTTCGAATCCCGTACAGGCCTGAATTTTTTTCAGGTCTGATTTTCACTATTGCTTAAATAGTGCTTTACTGCGAAGGATCGTGCACATATACGTTTCATAACCGCAGTTCATATATATGTATTTCATATGTTTGTTGTTTAATAATTGCTTTATTGCTACTTAGTGTAAAGTGAGACTCTCAGACCTGATAGTATTTTCGGGAAATTTCATTTAGAGAATCCTCATCTTCATTGCTTTTCTAGGGAAGTTCCAAAGGGTTTCGTTAACACTGCTTAAAGACGCCCGTAGCCTTATGATTCAGACTCCAAGATGAAAAGACGAAAACTGAACAAAATTCCATTAACAAGAGAGAGTAAATGACGCCAATATGCTGGCTCGCTGGTTTTCTTCGAATTCGTAAATATCTAGATCATATATTCTGGGACATTTGGAAGGAAACGGAAGCAAATTGAAATCAGTGCAATTATTAATTCCGGGTCTTAATTTCATAACAACTTGTGATATATCTCGAACATGGATGGATGAAAAAACACTGATTCAATTGTAGCAGGGTTGAAAGAGATGTTTGCCAAAACACATGCACGAGACCAACCCACGCAATGCATTTCTTTGTCGGCCATGTTCCATGGAAACTACTTGTTATTGAAGTTTGCAAACATTTTATGCAGTTGGAGACCATCATATTCAACTTTCACGAATGGATTACTTACAGTTTTTAAATTTTAGAGATCATCTACCGGACGCGAAATTTTTTAAGCTTTCGTAACAGAATTTTTGATGACCAAGCAACGTTTGTCGAAAGATGCTAAAACATCAGCAGTCAACTTAAAAGTGGAAAAGCTGCAACTCGTCGATAAACGATGCAGTGAGTACGGAAAACAAGTTCAAAATGCTAAAAACTCTTACTTAAAAAATAAAATCTTTATTTCTTTGATCGAAGAAAAAAAACATCAGGATTGATCTTTTTATACTTTAGAAATATTTGTCAGAAAACCCTTTCGAGGCATAGAGCATTTGACTCAATACAAACGTCAGTTACGATTTCTTTTATTTGCCTCCCGACCAGAAATTTTATTTGATCAAATTTTATTTTGGTTCGTGGATCAAACACAGATAAGAAACGCAAAGTCGTACATCAGTTTGCGACAAAATCCTACAGAAATAAGGTTTTTAAGAGTAAAAACCACATCTGTTGAATGACTTTATACTCCGGCCGTAGGTGTCTGCGCTGTGCTTGCGCTCAATGCCGAAGGTTGCGCCAACACTCAACAACGTGGTGCCCTATAATTCCAGAATCTGCTGCTTTGAAAAATTTTATATTAAGTGTTCACGTTCTCTAAGATCCATTTAAATCAACAGTTGAGCCAGTTCTGATAGTTGAAAACAAGCACAAATAACTAAAATTGAATATAAAAGCTTCAATTTTATCTCCGATTTTTGTACGTATTCACACACACACTATCGTACAATTGGAAACTCACCTGTTGGTCTCTAAAAGTTTTTCAGTCGCGAAGACCGTTTAATCCTCTGTGCGGCCGCGTTCTAAATAATAAAATAAGGAAAAAAATAATCGAATTGTTCCAATTGTAAGTATTGAAAACAATATCTAAATTTGATGTCGACCTTTTCAGCTTATTTCATGAACTATACTCACCCAAAACTTCATCAACGGTCGGTTGCGATCAACTGTTCTTTTGCGTTCTTTAAAGACACGATTCCCAGATTTTCATAGTTTTTATAGAAGCCGATTAATCCTGACCATTTGGTATTAGATACTTCGATATTCAATCGAAGAGAGTTATTCTCCTCGCCGATAGCGTGGCAGCGTTATATGCGTCTGGCCCTCATTCATCAACTTATGATTGACATTTTAGAGGTACTCTACTGTGAGTCGTTTATTAGGGGTGGGGTAGGGGTCAAAGGTAAAGACGTAATGATCCGGGTGGATGAAGACTTGTAACTATACTAGTAAAAAGACTGTTGAAGAATATCTTAACTGAGCTTCTGCAGAATTCCGTGGTTTCTATTTACTTTTGTAACAAACACAAGAGAGAAGAACACCTTGGTATACAATTCACCAAAGGGGAATGGTTTCATCCTTTACATATGAAAGATGTTGCAAATAATTTTACAACACGTAGTTAAGTGGAGGTGAAGTATGATTTAAATCATGGGTATTGGGGCTCAAAGGGATTAGCCATTTGTAGCCATAAAATAGCAAAAAAATTTAGCGGTTAGGCATAAAAGTTGACAAGTTTGAGCCATAAGTCGTAGAAAAAGTTGAGCGTAAAATTGTTTTGCTAACTTTATCAGAAACAAAATGAATGGATAGCTCTGGCCAAAATTTTAACCATCAGCTGTAAAACCCATCAGCCCATTGAGACCCTCTTGGTAGAAAATCCCTCTTTTTATCATAGCTTTCGTATTGTTTAGCTAGATATAAAGTTCATCATCTGTCTTAAATCAGTTTGTTTGACATGGGTACCTACTACTTCTGATTCAACTCAACAGTTAATGATTAGTAGCATACTGGAGTGGGAGTCCAGACATCCAGGTTTAGGCATTGGGTGTTCCTTGGCAGGATACTTAATTGTCAAAGTGGGTCTCTCTGCTCAGAAGTAAAGATGGGTATTGGAAAACTTTCTAGGAAACCTGATGAAATACTAGATTGTCATCTATAATGGAACAGCGTTTAATCTATCCACCCTGGGGGAGAAGCAATGCTCTTAATCTCATGGAAACAGGGGAATACTGGGGCAGTGTGGGCCACTTTTATTGAGTTCTGACTTAACCTACCTACTACAATAATTGCATTGTTACAGTAACTGTTACTGTACCTGAAAATAAAATGGCAAATGGGAGAGAGGCTTTTTGATTATTTTATTCAACAGGAAGTATTGATGCCTGAACTATATGACTTGATCAATACATATAAACCTGAGTATCTGTATGTGAATGGACCACATGGACCTGACACATACTGGGGTAGCTGCAACTTTTTTGCATGTCTTTATGATGAAAGGTACAAATCAAAAGTAAAATTTTATTCCTGCATGTGGCGATTTTTAATTGCAATTATTTTGGACGTTTGCAAACTGACATATAAGCATTGGTGAAGTGACATTAGATGTAGGTGAATCAACCTCGTGCATTAGGGAATAGATGTTGGTGAACTGACACATTGGCAAAACAAACGGTTAACATATAGATCTTAGCTGAGCAGTAAGGGCAGGTGAAGTTAGTGAAATTTGACTTTGACACCAGGAAGGAAATTAACTTTGCTTGATAGCAACAAAATGTGTGACAGCATTACTTTGGTAGAGAGAACTTAGTTTAACTACTTGTCTTTATGTCCTGTGACATGCTTTCTTTTTATCCACAGTCCTGTAAAAGGTATAGTTTTGACAAATGACAGGTGGTGTGACAATGGCTGCAAATGTCACCATGGAGGAACATTTACCTGCATTGACCAATAAAACCCTGGTATTGTATGCAGCATGACATTTATTCTACAGTTTATTGTAAACATACTGAGTTGTAGGGTCCATACATTGCTCAATAAAATTAGCTGTTGCTTCTACTTGACTTGAAGGCTAAATTTCTTGCCTGCAAAAGATTGATTACCATCAGCTGAATAAGTCACAACAAAAGCAATATCAGTCTAGCTCAGTAGTTTGAAAGGCAGCCAGCTCTAGTCTAAGATTAAAAGTTTGATTTCTCTAGTGTAAAAGTATATGACTTGTTAAGACCGATGTTTCATCCCAGTGTAGGACAAAACAGAGGAAATGAAATGTTAATGTTAGATCTACCTGCAAAGCCAATACAAAAAATACCTAACCCTAGAATAGCCTATGCATGTAACAAGTATGTGGAGAGATGTTTTGTTTATATTAGTTTAAATTTATTCTTTTAGGAACACTTCAGATGCATAAATGGGAGAATGCAGTGACTATTGACAGGTATTCCTGGGGCTTCTGATGAGACCTTTCAACTAGGGATGTTCTGGAAATGAATGACCTTCTATTCCAGTTGGTTTCTACAGTAAGGTAACCAAAAAAAAATAGAAATTTACAGTTATTGAAGATATGTTTTGTAATTGGGTAGTGTATTCAGTTTTGACTCATAATTCCATTTTTGTTCAAGTTCACCTTGATTTTGTCATGAAATCAGTGTTGTTAAGACTTATGACTGCAGGTAGTTGTCTAAAGTTTCTGTAGCATAATGTAATTGGGAGTATGTGAACTTTTCCTGAATGGCACGCTGGTCCATCACATCAGGCTTCCCTGGTAGTTCATGGTTTCCAATTTTATACTCCTGTATGGAGAGAGGCATTATGAGGGTGAAGTTTCTTCACAATGTCAAGGCCATGGCTCACTAGCTCCTGGATCAACAGAACTGGAATTTGCCATGCTAAATATAACCACTAGACCATGGCTTAGCTCAAAAATTTTAATGTTTTGATTGATTGATGCATTTATAGAGGAGGGATGATTGGAGGAGGGAAGGATGGATGAACAGAGCGAGGGACTGCTGGATGGTTTTGTTTTTTTTTTCAGATTTTTTACTCTTTCATTCCAGAACTAACTGATTGATGGAATGAGTGATTCAGAGAACAAATTACTAACACCATTCTCATTACCTGACCCACAAGCAGGTACTACTTACCATTTTTATGGACCAGTGGGCATTAATTCATTAATATTTACCCAGCTGCAATGATTTTGGTAAATCTGTCTTCTCTTTTCTCTTTATAACTATGATAAAAAGTATTCTGATTAAACTCAGATGCAAAACATCTCTGATGACAGTTGTGGAGGAAACATGCTTATGAACATCTGTCCAACATCAGATGGCAACATTGTACCAATACTTCAGGAATGTTTACTCCAGATGAGAGATTGGCTGTCTGTGAATGGTGAAGCAATTTACAGCACTAAACCTTGGAGGGTTTAGAATGATGCAATCAACAAACATATCTGGTATGTACTGATATTTAGATGTTGATCTTAAGCCCACAGCCACCTAAGCCAATGGGATTTGATTAAAGAGATGGCTGACATTAAAGTAGATAAAGAGCATACAACTGGTTGGGCATGGGTGATAATTTGTTCACCTTTGTGATTAAGAAATATTTTTGGTTCCTCAAAATGTAACATATTTGGGATTCAATTCTGCCTTCATTCAGATTGGCAAGGAATTTAACAGCAGGGAGGAGTGAACATAGGAGAATAGCCAGGCCAGATATGATAACATGAAGTTACCTCTTTTTTAGAGGTCATTTAGAAAAGAAGTTAGGTTGTAATTTTGATAAGAAGCTGGGTCTAACTTTTGCACATGCTGGAAGGTTGTTCCTGCCTTTCGTGGGAACCCCTAGGGTGACATACCCTACTGCAAGTCACAGAGAGAAGTAGGGGTCTTTTTCCTGACAAGTATTAATGTATAAAAAAAGAGGGATGCGAGGATGGCAAACATAATACTCCTGGCTAAACATTTTAGTTTTTTTTTCACTTTATATTTGGCAGTGAATATGAATTGTGCAGTCCAAGCTTGCATGACATTTTCTCTCCATCATTTATATTTGTGTTGATTATTGTTTCCTCTATGAAACCTTCTAGGTACACATCCAAACCTAATGCAGTGTATGCCATTGTTCTCAAGTGGCCATCAACCAATGAGCTAACCCTTGGAGCTCCAGTTTCCACTGAAGACACTGAAATAACCAAGTTAGGTTACGAAGGAGATTTTGTTTGGAAACCATCTGGTCACAGACTTTTATTTCTGTGACATTTCCTGGTATTCCCATCAACAAACCTCCATCAAAGTGGGCTTGGGTCCTTAAATCGACAAAAGTGGAATAGGACTGATGTTTTTAAGGAGTGGTTTAATACACCCTTGAAGTGTAGGGACTGGAAGCGATTCAAATATAGGGAAGTGAATATTTGTGGTGTTGGCCGGTACTAGGTTTTTGAAATAAATCTGATGTTCTTGTTTGTTTGATATTGTTTGTTCTCAGTCAATTTCGTTGTGGTGAACGGGTTTTGAAGGAACGGTAAGTAAACACATAGCACGTTAAGGCACGTTGCAGGTTAGGCAAGTCCCCATTCGTGGGCGAGTAGATACGTAAGCGAGTTTGAATCTTAGGCTTGACTTGAAGTCGAGTTGACTTTTGGGCGAGTTGTCCTGGAAATATGTGAGCTGTATCGTAAGTAAGTTGGACTTGCTAGCGAGCTGGCACATAGGAGAGTGGAATCGTTTCAAGCTAAGATGAGCGAATGATAAAACCATTAACATTCGTTCTATGTTCTGTTCACTGTGGATGTGGATCACGACCTTACGAATGCTACTAGTTTGCTTCAAGTGACGCGGTTGACTGGTTGCTAGTCGCCTTAATAAAGTATTATCTTGCGCCGAGATTAGTCAGTTTTAAACAACTGTGATTGGTGCATTTCATCATCGAAAGGCGCCTGTGATCGACAGCTGTTGAAAACAGACGGTGTCTAAAGTAGGGGGAAAAAGTACACACACCCCTCCCGCCATCACTTAAGAGTCATTTAATAGGAACCACCAGTTAGAGACTTTTTCTACGTCGCACTTGACAGTCTAATAGATGATCAGTCAAGAAGTTGATGGAATTGGTGCCTTACGAAGGATAAATTGCCAAAAACTGCTTTCCTTGTCTCAACAGATGTACGTACCCTTACTAAGAACATAAAAAACTAGCAAACGAAATTTTCTTGAAAGGGGAATATCTCATCCACACAAGATATTTGAGAAAAACGCTCAATGATTCAATGGGGAAGATAACCTGCTTAGCTGTGGTACCACTATGGGAACAGAGCTTAATAAGACCGGGGAATAGCGGGATTCTCATCGATTTTTACGGATAATTTTGGCCGTTAATTCATTAGTGAGCCATTTATTAAGTAAGCGAATGAGTGCTTCGCAGTCAAGATGCCCAGTTTTCTGCAGACGCGATCGCGTAAACTTTATTGTGTCAATGCTAGGTGCAGTTCATAGGTAAGCGACGCGTACACAAAATATACGCAGGCTTTTTTACGTAGAAGCGTGTCGATAAACGCTTGGCTTGTCAACACGCGCGTAAGTTCTACCCCTATAGACCTTGTTCGTTAAAACAGTGAAAACTTCCTTTAGATGAAACGATGTGATAAGGTTATTTCTACAATTCACCACACAGGAGTTACGCGTCCGTCACGCCGGTATGGGGCGATTTCATCCCTAAGTAGTTCTCATGTTCCCTTTTACTCAGTTGACACGGTAACTCCTTAGTAACTAAATTGCAATCCGATGATCGATGAGACTATATTGCTGCAACAATTACAACCTTGACAGAAAAAAAGTACGGTCCACCAGGGGTCATTAAGCCCACGATTAAACCTGCTTATAAGTCATTTAACCTAAAGGTCAACTTTCCAACAACCTAAATCGCCTTCACAACAAATACAAATACAGTTGCGTTATGCGCCAAATGGCATCACATGTGAAAGTTATAAGCCACTATAACTCAGTCATGAATATCGCAAATATCCTTGAGTTTATTCACGTCTATTTGGTGGTCTCAATTCACAAGCTCTAATCTTACAAATCTCTGACTATCATCCAACTATGCTTTGTAGAGTACAAGTAAAGAGCGAGACGAATACAAATATCACGCGATATCTGTACTCTAGAAATATCCGCGAAATTCGCCTGCACTGAAATAACAATTTGGTGTGTTGGATAATAAATTTCCTATTAGACGTTTTGTTGTGTAATATCGCTGAGTACTTTTACTCGTTGTTTGTATTTTGACTCGCCCTACGGGCTCGTCAAATACGGCACAACTCGTAAAAATGCTCAGCGATACTACATAACAAAACGTCTACTAAGATATATATATATCATCTAGGTGATTATTAGTTCATCCAATACCAAATTCCCCGACCAAACTTCCTAAGAATTGTATGGCAGACAGTAAGGAGAATTACTGATGAGATCTTGAAAGCGACAGGCTTAAATCTATCGTATATCTGAGATACAATTATATATAAACTATATCGATCATGGGTACGGCTTCACATTGGCTAATCGGGAAGAGCTCGTGGACAATGAAATAGGGACTGATTTAGTGAACGAAATCCAGCTTGAAAACCCAAGCCCACTTGGACTTGAGTTTGTTGGCGGGAATGCAGGGAGCATTGACCAGTATGCCGCCTTTCAGCATTGGCAACCAAGAAAACTTTCCTTCATAACCTAACAAGGTAACTTGGGTCTCATCCGTGTACATTGGAGCTCCGAGAGGGAGGTAACCTGAAAATGGCCATACTAATGCAATGGCATACACAGTTCCATTTTTGGAGGTGTACCTGCAAAGAAGGAAACGAGCGAAAACTCACTAACATTACACAACTAGGATATGGGCGCTGATACACTGTCTTTTTTTTTTTTTTTTTTTTTTTCTTTTTTACTGAACCCCTTCACTCCCAAGATCTCATAGGTAATTCTCCTTACTGTCTGCTATACAATTCTTCTGACGTGAGTTTGGAGAATTTGGTTTAGATCAACTAATAATCCCCTAATTCATATTTTTTTTCGTTATTCTCATCACCTCTCTGTTTTCACTGTTGTATTCAGTGATATTGTAAGGAGAAATTTTGTCCCCGCAGTCACTCATGGGAGTCAAAGGGGTAAGTAAAATATTTCTGTTTTTCTTTTTTTCTGCTTTTTTGCTTGTTTGTTAGCTTGTCTGTTTCGTTTTGACCCTCATTTTCTAGCGCCTCTGTAAAATTCTTTTTTTCTCTTGTCTTTGAAAAATTTACTCGTGCTGATCAACCTCCTGCTCTTCGTGAGTAAAGAGTTTAGAGAAGTTTCGCCCCATTGCGGGTTCGCTCCCTACCACCTTTGCGAGTTCGCCCTTAAATCTTTCAATTCGTTTTCTCACGGCAGAACATATTACTTTTTCAAATCATAACATGTTCCGTACAGGGAGCGAAAGTGTAAAGGTGGTACAAGTCGAACTTGCAATGGGGAAAAACCTCCATTCGCTGACTCATCATTGCAGCAAACTCACCACACATCTTTGGTGACAGTGTCATTCTGAGCTCTCCAAGGTTTGGTGCTGTAAATAGCTTCACCATTCACAGACAGCCATTGTCCCATTTGTACAGGACGTTCCTGGAATGCAGGAATGATCCTTCCATCGGCAGTGGGACCAACATTCATTAACAGATTTCCTCCACAGCTGTAGAGAATCGCCATAAGGAGTGAGCGCAAGATAAATTTCTTCAATTCGCGTAATTGGGTAACCAAGTTAACGACGTTTGACGAACAATTCATTTCTTATCCCTACAATATCAAATCAAGTTTTAGACTGCAATAGAAACAAGGGATGAAACTCGTAGACCTAATAAGAACAGCCTGTGGAAGACTCCAACTACTTCACGAGTTCAACTTAAGAAATTCAGCCTACCTACGTAGAAAGTGGCCCTTTCTCATCGAAAAGATGCAAATAAATATCGATGTCTGTCTGTCTGTCTGTCTGTTTGCTGATGACTAACAGACGATACAAAAATGCCATTTTTTTTCGAAAAGCGGAAAGACAAGGGGAAATCAACCTTGATTTACCGAAGAGTTTAGCTGGACAACCGTGCGTAAGTGTAAGTGGCGCAAGCAAGGGCAGAGTCATGCAAGAATAGCGCAAAAGGAGCGTCTCTTGTCCGTAACGCGTTTCCTAGCCTTTTTTAACTCGGATCTGGTTCATGATGTATGCACCTGTAAAACAGGTTCACGTCTATCCTTTACCAGCAAACTTCCCGAGTGCAACGTAACAAACACCTGTTTAGAAGTGGTTAATTACACTCTCATTGAAAGAGAATGAAGACAATTTTAGTTTCCGCTGCCGATCAACTTGGGTTCGTCGCGAAGGCCAAAGTGGTTATAATTGCACATTTAAAAAGGCGCACTCAAGCGTGAGGTTACACGAGAAGAACGCAAAAGAAGCCCACTTTTTCCTTCAAACACCCCTTTAATTTTAACCCTCCGCGTGTCTGCCTATCTTTTGCAAATGCCACCCATAAATGCTACTATGAACTCATCCTGTAAAATCAGAAAAACGTTTGCGTGAAGAAAAGGAATTCGTTTATTTTATTTTCATTTTGCAGTGGAGGGTGTGAAACAATGCTTACTTCATACCTGACAGTAGAAACGAGCTGATATAGCAGTTCCTCAATAGTCAAATAATCCATGATATCAGCATTGCGTCTGTATCCCCATGAAAACTTGTCCACTGTCATGGCGTTTTCCCACTTATGATT